AAAAAAAAAAAAAAAAAATAGAAAAAATTCAGCCAGACGCGGTGGCTCATGCCTGTAATCCCAGCACTTTGGGAGGCCGAGGCAGGCAGATCACAAGGTCAAGAGATTGAGACCATCCTGGCTAACATGGGAAAACCCCATCTCAACTAAAAAATACAAAAACTAGCCAGGCATGGTAGCACATACCTGTAATCCCAGCTACTTGAGAGGCTGAGGCAGGAGAATTGCTTGAACCCAGGAGGCAGAAGTTGCCATGAGCTGAGATCATGCCATTGCGCTCCAGCCTGGGCAACAAGAGTGAAACTTCATCTCAAAAAAAAAAAAGAGACCTAACTTTCTGTTTTCCCCACAGTAAGCTACACATAGTCATAGTGAATTTGGGAAAGATGGAAGGAATCATCCAGCCTCATGGTTCAGAGCCTAGCTCTGCCAGTGTCAGCCACACAAGCCTCAGTTTTCCCATCTGTAACATGGGGAAAACATTAGTGCCCAGCCCAGAGGGCTACTGCAAAGATTCTGAGAGAGAACGTAGGAAGTGCTGCTCAGCATGGCCTGCACACAGGGAGGGCTGGCACTGCAGCAGGTGCCCTCATCATCATAGGGAAGGCCCAGCTGCCCCTGGGGAGGCCTGTTCTCCTCAGCGGGGTGTAGGAAGGGGGTTGGTTTCTCTGCTTCTTTCTGGGAGTGGCAAGGCTACTACTCTGGGGTGATGATAGGTCATGCCTTGTCTCCCATGGGTCCTCAGGTGGGGCCCCGCCCTACCCTCTCCTCTGACCTCTGCTCACTCATCCTTTTGGGCCACAGGTGCACGTGGGGGGCAGCCTGGCTGTCCTTGGAGGAAAGCTGTATGTCTCCGGAGGATATGACAATACATTTGAACTCTCGGATGTGGTAGAGGCCTATGACCCAGAGACTCGTGCGTGGAGTGTGGTGGGGCGGCTCCCAGAACCCACCTTCTGGCACGGCAGTGTCAGCATCTTCCGCCAGTTCATGCCCCAGACCTTCTCAGGTGGGCGCGGCTTCGAGTTGGACAGTGGCAACAATGATGTGGACCCAGGCCAACCCCGGCCGCTGCGGGACCCTAATGAGCTGCACTAGCCCTGGTCCGGCCCGGTCCGGGCCTCGGTGCAGGTAACTGGCACCTCTGTGGGGCAGTGCCCCACTCCTTCATGTATGAGGACAGGTTGGGCTCACAGGTAGAGCACAGGCTCTCGGGTAGCCACGCAAGCCCAGGATCCGGTGCCTGAAGGTATCTGTGCCTTGAGAGCCTGAGTCAGAGGCCATCGTGAACGCCCTTCCCGACGTTGAGGGAGAGCCACCTTCCTGCCAGCACGTGTTTCTGGGTCTCGGAGGTCACCCCTAGCCTGCGGATCGCAGCTCACCCACGCAGAGCATACCCCTCCTGCTGCTGTCACCTGCACCTACTTGCTCCCACCTTAGGTGAGGAGGACGACTTGAGAGGGACAAGTGAAGGGAGGAGGGGTCCTCCCGTGAAGCTTGGAGGATGGCCTGGACCTGGAACAGTGAATCAGGCAGAGACTGAAGTGGGGTCCCAAATTCCATGTCTGGGGGTGTCTTGGGGGACCATTTCCCCAGCGGGGATAGGGCCTGCCTCCCTAGCTCATAGCCCCTCCCCGGGGCTTACATCCGAACCCCTCAGAGGGCTGGCCTCCAGAGGCTGCACCGGGACAGTGGGACGTGAGCAGGGATGTGGACCTTGGGGGTGAAGAGAATGTGGCCATGGCAGATGCTGGGCCTCCCCAGCCGTAGCCCCCCCGCTCCCACGTGCGACTGGCTGTTGCGTCCTCACCTCTCACCGTCTCCTTCACCATCCTGGGACAGAAGCCCAGGGGAGGTCTCAACGCCAGGCCATAGGTCCTTCCCAGGAGGCCCTGGAAGGCAGTCATTGACACCCAGCCAGGCAAACAGCTGTGGTGCCCGTGCCCTTGCCGGGCCTGGGCATGAGGAGTCCCACAGCTTCGAAGGGAAGTCCTGGGCAGGAGGTGGCCTTGGTGGTTGGTTTCAAGGTTTGAAATGCTTACAGTTTGACCTTAAGAGGAAGCTGTATAGGGTCAGCTTTGTTTGATTTTTCAAGTCTGTAAAGTACCATTGCCAGAGCTTTCTGCGGGAGTGCTCAGGTGAACGCCGCAGCCTGGCAGTCCCTGGTTTTCTCTTGGAAATGGTCAGTTTCACCTCAAAGTACCCAAAGGAGCCTTGGCTTGAGTTTTTGTCCTTGCCTCCCTTTTTAGAGAAGAGGGCGTTCAGACTGTGCTTTCCTCGTTAAGATTAAAGCAGACGTTGATTGCCTTTTCTAGTGAACTAACTTGTAGAGATGTTCTCAGCGGGAGACGGTCTCGCATTGTCACTTAGATTGCACTTAAGACCCTTGTGTTAGCCAGATGGCATGGCTGGTTGCCTTAATATGTCCGGGGACACCTGCCAGGACTGCCTAGCCTCTCCCTCATGCCCCTGAAGAGCCCAATCCATACACTGTGGATGACATTGCTGTCATTAGAAAATCTTGTCCTAGCCGGGCGCAGTGGCTCACGCCTGTAATCCCAGCACTTTGGGAGGCCGAGGCTGGTGGATCACGAGGTCAAG